TAACAAAACAACGATTTCTATCCAAAATATACTACACTCACACACACATATATAGGGATGATATTTTTGCTTGTAGGCTCAAAACTTCAACTGAAAGAAACGAGGTAGAAGGATTGAGTGATGTTCACTTGAATTGGGGTTCCGGGTATTTATAGAAAAAAAATGGATAATCCTTCCTAAAGAAGTTTCACGTGTCCCAAGGAAAGGTTGACCAAAGTTTCGGACTGATGTTTTTTTATATTTTTTCATGTATTTTCGCATATTCTTTATGGACTATGGAGATGTGTACAGGCTAAAAAGACTTGTCCATGCTGATTTTCCTTGAGTTCAATCACCATATACTTTTTCACTGTTCAACTTTACTATAGATGATGTATCTATTCAACTTTCTATTGTAGCTCATGTATACTCACCATCGCTGATCTGTAATTTTAAATCCCTATCACTTTTCATAATTTCCATCATCAATTTCCAGACGTGAACTTCCACTTTAATTAGGGGTATTTTTGTAATTTTTAGCTCGCACTTTCATATCTAAGGATTCTTGAGCGGGAACACTATTCTTAACACATTTTGCTTTTATATAATGACTAGTAATTCACCCGTGCGATGCACAAGGTGAGATATTTTCTTTAATAGTTGTTATTAGTTTTTATTATAAAGTAAAATAAAGTGATAAAAATAAATTATAAAATATGAAATAAAATGAGATAACTACCTATGGAAAAAGAAATCATGTATGAACATGAAGATCCAAGACAATTTGTTAAAATACCTCCAATAAGATAAACTGATGTCAAAAACTTTGTATCATGATATCACCAACATTCTCTACAAAATAAAAAATATTTAAAATCACCACATAAATTAGGGTATCACTTTTTTTTAAACCAAAATCAGGGTTTATCTCTAGTTAGTTTTTCAATAAAAGCTACTCCATATTTGACGAAGGTCAAAACATAATCCAACACTATGATAGATTCCGGTTCTAATGTAGCATGGTCTAAACTTAGAATATACTAGTGTAACGTACACCCGAGGCATGCCCCGGTAATGTCATGTTAATATAAAAAATTAAAGTGATAATTTATCAATAAAAATTCTCCTTATGAATTATTTATGGAACTTGTCAATAGCATTTTTAATGTCGAAAAGGGAATATCTTTGCTACTCCGTATTATTTTGTTGAGATATACGGTTTTAAAGAATTGATTTGTATATTATTTATTATTATTATTATTTTAATTTTAGACTAATTTGTATTATTATTTTATTTTGTGTTAATGAACACATTAGTTAAAAAAAGGTTCATAGGATGCAAATAAGAGTGGAGGAAAATGAAAATACTAATGTGTAAAGTATGAAAATAAAGTATCATTCATTTGCTTTAAAAGAGGACTTCGATATTATACACAATATACACAATATTTGTTGTATTGCATCCTTCTCCCCCATTCAACAAATTTTTCAACCCATTTCTACTCAACACTTTTAATTAAAAACTTTAATATTGATAAAAACAGTGTATATTTTTTTAGGTTGGTTTTCACCCTCATCTATAATAGTGTTAATAATATATATATATATATATATATATATATATATATATATATATATATATATATATATATATATATATATGACTTCTAAGTTAAATATTTCTAAAGTTAATAAAAAGGGTTTGAATAAAATTTAGTAAATAATTTAAATTATAATACAATTATACAAATAAATATATTCACTTTAATATATTATACGTATAGAAATATATAGGAATATGAGTTTTAGCATTATTAGAAAATGTTTTTTACTAGGCAATAATTATGTGGATTAATTATTTAAATCTAAAAACTATATATAATAAAGTAAATTTTTAGATTTCAAACATTAATGAAATGATGTTAATAACTGTTGAAACTAATCCAACACGAAATAGTATACATATACAAATAAATGTATGAATACTCGATTTTAACGTGAAAATCCGAAATTGTGAAAATCACGAGATTTTTCGGACCAATGTTCAAGCTACTATATTTTTATTAGTCTTTCCTCACCATTTACATTGTACTAATCTAGAGAGAAGGGAGGTCTTGAAGAAGAAGAGGGTCCTTACATTTGGAGGGAAGCCTCCTATTTATAGGAAAATGGAGAGGGGAAGTACAATCATGTGTTAATGGGCCCAATAATCAGAAATGAGCCTCACTGGTTGGGTTTCACAAGGGCTAGTGTATTGAGCCCCTGAATAGTACATGCCGGGATCCATCCCAATATCCCAACAATAACTTTAATAAACATTTCTATGAGTAGTCAACTTCGAATTTCCTCCTAATTTAAAGTTGGCGATTAAACATTAAAAAGTAAAAATCTTTGCCAATTATATTCAAGTTTTCTTTAATTGCAATTTAAAGACTTTGTAAATTTCCCTTCAAAATGTATAAATAGTTGTTTTAATTTAAAATTTCAATTTGGGAGCCGTTTTAACTTTATTAGGATTTTTTTATCAGTTAACATATATCGATTGTATTTATTTCCTACCGGGATGGTATTAAGGATGTTTGTACTAGGACTATAATTTAGTAAAAACATCCTAAGAGCCCATTTGATAATTCCGATTTTCAGATTATCAATCATTTTTTTACTAAGCACGTACTAATTTTTATTTCAAAATTGTGTAATACTCAAAATAAGTAAAGTTGATGTTACTTTTCTACTGAAATGGCCGATTTCGCCGTAGAATACAGGTTTAGCTATTTTTATGTATTTTTTTAATTTTATTAATAGAATACTCCATATAATTCAAATATAATCATACTATACCAGTATACACAAAGGGAAAATCTCCTATCAAAATTTTCCCACTTCTCTCTCCTATCATTATAAGTAGGCTTAAATATGTTTTTGATCTCTGCAAATATGACACACATTGTTTTAGGTCCTTGCAAAATACTATTTTTGTTTTTCATCCATGGAATATGCACTATTTTGGTTTTAGTCCATCTCTAACTCCAAAACTAGTCTACCTAGGGAAAAAATTATTATCGGTTGCATAAACCTACTAGATACGATTAAATTTTTTTTCCCTAATTTTTTTGAGACTGATATGCGAGTTAAAACAATGTAAACCTAATTACTCACATTTTAAAATATGCATTAAAAACCTTCTACATAATAAAATTAAATACTTTTTGAATAACATGACAAAGAATTAAAAGAAACCTATTAGCTAGTCGGGGTTGTTTAATTGTGAAACGGATTTTGTTATCATCGATGAAGGACTAAAAACAATTAAAATCAGCATATATTTCAAGGATGAAAAACATAAAAAAAAATTTTGCAGGGATGTAAAACAAAATGTACCGTATTTGCGCGGACTAAAAACATATTTAAACCTTTTAAGTATAATGTTAATGCTAATCCTGTATACATACACACAAAGAGAGAATCATCTCTTAGTAATTAATTTCTCTCCCATCTATCTATTAAAGATATTGATGAGTTATAATATTTTCCTCTCTCATATCAACAAAGTTCAATATTATTACTCTATTTTTTATTATCCTTCTTTAGTTGTTAATCTCAAGTACCAAACATAACTCTCTTTTTCTCATCATTCTTGTATTTTTTTAGGAAATAATAAATTAAAATCAAATTATATGTAGTAATGTCCTAATATGCATTGGCGATTATTTGCGAATCGCATTTCCTTTGGTAGAAAATATCCTAAACTATTTTGATTTGTTTGACAAGAAGATCAAGGACGAAAGTTACACAAAAGAGAGAAATGAGAGAAAAATAACATGCATGAACCATAATGTGAGACAAATAATATAGGGAAACGATTCTCCTTTTATGTATGTATGAAAGGATCTAGAACCCTTTTGGTGACCCTTTTTTCGTCTTATCAGGCTTATCAGTCAATTTTTCATCAACATGTAACTATTAATTTTGTGCGCTGAGTTGTGTAATAATAAGAAGGGAAAAGGGGCAAATAAGCCCACGTACTAACAAAAAAAGTCAAATAAGCCCTTATTTAGGAGGTTCTGTCCGGCCATCGCCATTTGGGGCGGTTTCCGGTGGAATTTTTTGATGAAATTTTTAGAGCATCCTATTCATTGAGTCTAGTTTACTCATACCACATTTTATCTAACAATTCAATTGGGAAGGCATTCAAATGAATTCTTGAAGATAACTGCATTTTTAACTGCACAGTTATCTTCAAGAATTCATTTGAATGTCTTCCCGATGGAAGTTTTAGCTGAAATTTGGTATGCGTAAACTAGACTGAATGAATAAGATGCTAAAAAAATTTCATCAAAAAATTTCACCGGGAACCGCCCCAAATGACGACGGCCGGACAGAGCCTCCTAAATCAGGGCTTATTTGACCCTTTTTGGTTAGTACGTGGGCTTATTTGCCCCTTTTCCCTAATAAGAATATGTAAGGTTTAAGTTACGTTTCTGGTTGTAATGGCTGAAGTTACTATAGAGGATCATTTTAGCTATTTTTCATATATATATTTTTCTTTAATTTATTAATAAGATATTTTTTTCATGAATAAGAATAATCAGCCAATCCAGTCACTTTAGCCAGAACTTCATAAATTTCAGCAGAATCAGCTGAATTTGGTATTTACCAAACGGGTTCCTAATTGTTTTGAAAAGTTAAAACTCAACATCTAGATTTTAAGATTTGTTGATGATATTAGTAGTTAAAATAAGGACATTCACGTAATTAACTTATTTTTCAAAATGTCAATTTATTTTTCTCTCCTTGTTGTGATAATACAACTTTAAATTTTGCTTCAAATCCGTATTTCCATTAAAACTTTAATCAACTTGATGTAAAAAGTAAGGTTATTAAACACCGCCCAATATGTTATGGAATTAGTTGTCACATAATTTGCATGAAGTGGAACGGTGGGTTGTTAGCAAAACTCCAAAACAATTTGCCCACATTTCGTGCAGCATGATATGATCTCAACTACAACACAAACTACACATACATCCTCATATATACTTAAATATATATATATATATATATAGAAAGACTTTATAAGCATATAATGTACATGCATATACCAACATATACATATATAACTTTAATAATATTGACCAATTGATCGAAATTCTAGCTAGCTCTTAATTAATTTTAAGAGTAGTACGTGCATTTATGATGGCCTTGGATCAGAAACCTTTCATTGCAGCAACAATAACAGGTTTGACCTGGGTAGTGTTGATTGTGGCATGCATTACTGCAGAGGCGGCGCAAACTCTTGAAGATGGCGGCGGTGGCGTGAGTCCAATATCATCATCGGCAATACAACTAGGTCGCTGCCTGGTCACGTGTGGGACCAGCATTCTTTCCTGCGGTGGCACCTGCGGCTTCAAGACCGACACCACCGAAGCCATGGGGTGCTGGACCGAGTGTGGCACCACCAACATGGATTGTTTAGGAGCTTGCCTCGACTCCACTTAGCTACCTAGCTAGCTACATTTGTTTATTGCGCGTGACACAAACACACACACATGCCCAAATTAAACTGGTAAAATAATATAATAACGTATGTAACTGATACATACATAAAGTTTGTTCCATGAATAAATTATGAAAAAACTTCAAATATTTGTGCCCAAGCCACATTATTTTTCTACCTAACAAAAGCATGCATGTAGTTTGGGTGGTGTTTGGAACCAATTCCACTTCCGCTTCTTTTTTAAGTGAGAAGCAGAATCAGAATTTTCTGCTGTTGGAGAAAGTGACTCTGTGCGGAGTGTTTGGTATTGATTCTTCTGTATGTAACGGAGAATCAGTTTAGAGTATTTTGATGATTTTCTTTAAACACAAATGCTTATGACTAACCCAAAGAAATTATTTGCAGAAAATAGAATTGAAGACCAACACAATAATTGGAATATTAATCACATAAAAAGAGAAAATCAACAAACTTATTAAGTTCAAAGCATACCTAGAAGAAACGCTGGTGAAACGCTCGCTGGGGAAGAGAAGTGCCTGTAGATGGAGAAACGCTCGCCGGAGAAGTCAAGCGCCAACGAGAGATGATGGGTCGAGAAGCCAATTGCCGACGAGAGATGAAGGGTTTCGCCCAAGAAGCCAAGCACCGACTCACCACAAAAAAACAGGCAGCTTGTCACGGATTTTGTCACGAACGGTAGTTTAAAATATCTGTGACAAACAATTCTGTCACGGATTTTTTTCGTGACCGATACGTGACACAAAGTTCACCGGAGAAAGCTACCGGAATCACTTTTGTCGCGGAATAAAGTCCATGACAACATTTGTCACAAATTAATCCGCGACAAAAATAGTAATTCAAATTTTTTTATTTTAAAATATGTGAGCAGAAATTGAAAAAATTTAAATTTTTTACAGATTTGTCACGGATTAGCCCGTAACAAAAATAGTAATTCAAATTTTATATTTTAAAATTTGTGAGCGGGAATTGAAAAAATTTAAAATTTTTACAAGTTTGCCACGACCATGATCCGCGACAAACATTTCACATTTAAAAAATTTAAATGTTGTCACGGAATAAATTCGCGACAAAAAACTCGATTTAAAAAAAATTAAAGCATGATAAAAATAAAGGATAATAACATTACATTAAAAAAGAGAGTTCCTACAACGAAAATAAATAATAAAAATTCGAATGAAATGGACTAGCTATTACAGAATTGGGGGGTATTGATCGTCGGAATTCATATAGTCGTTGATATCAAAATCCAAACTAGGATGAGAATCAGATTCGGGTTGACCGCCTCGGCTACATGCCCCTCGACTGCCACCTCGATTGTATTGACCTCTGGGTGTTAAAATGTTTGATCTTGATACCCATACAGAAAAGACTGACATTCAGGGCATGTTTGTCGGCATGGCATATGAAACTACGGGCTAGATTTGAAACTCATGCCGCCCATAAATGGCATTTGAGATTGCAGTTGCTGCATGGGAGGCCGATATGTGACAAAGAATGCATTCATTTGACTCCGCATCTCATCCAGTTTTTCCCTTTCTCTCCTGGACTCTTCATCTCATTGTTCCCGGAGTTCCTGCAATTCTCTCTCAAGGCGGGCCACTCGCTCTTCACTAGCCATCGGTTGAGATGATGAACTAGCTCCTTGAGAATTTTTCAAAATCCGTACATCTTCAGCACCCATGCATGAAACCTGGCCTTTATAAACATCATCAGCCACCACATAGGCCTCATCATCTTGGTGCTCATCAATTTCGGCTTCTGAGTCACTTAGCTCGACATGTTTCATTTGCTTCTCATAATACTTCCTCTACAAGTTCATAGATTTATTATAGTTAAGATCGAGAATTTTTTTTGGGATTTATTAAATAATTTGAGTTACACTGTTTACTTCAATTTCAGCGGTGCGGGGTGGCGGACACCCCCTGGTCTTCGGATACCAACAAACCGTGATCAAGTCACATTTTGTGACCCTTTTCCGGGCGCGGGCTCTTGCTACAAGAATTTCAAATTACTTAATGATAATAATTTAAATGTAATAGTATTCCAAAATTTCATGATCTAGAGTTTACCATGTCTGCTTTATGCTGACTCATGGGTTTGCAGCCCCCAAGCCATTGAGTCATATAAAAAAATCGCAATTCCGATTTTGCTTATCGGTTGTGCTTTTCTTCAAAAATTTTGGATCAGTGTTCCAATGATGAACAAGGTTATTCCAAACATCGTCCAAAAGGTTTCCAGTCTTTTTTATCCCTTCGGGCATGATTAAAACTGGATCTCATCCATGTCGAGATCCTTGAATGATATTCTTTGACAATATCTTTTTTATCCTTTGCATTCCATCGATGTTTGCTTCAGTGCAAAGTTGATGTATCGTTTATTAAAATTAAGTTATTAAAATGTAAGAACTATTTATTTTTACCTAGAACATCTTCCGCCAAAAGTCACGGGTGTCATTGTCAACCTCCCCGTAAGTCGATCAAGTCCTCATTAAATGTCCGCCAACTATTTTTTTTCTTTCAAACACCTCCTTATCACTTCAAAAAATTCATAAAATTATTTATATCAATTTATATTTTTTGCGATTATGTTGTTTCAAATTACATAGAGTTAATTAATTACCTATAAATCGCTTGAGGTGTCACCCATGGTTTAAAAAGGCGCTTACAGGATGGGTTTTGAGGCACGCCTCAAGTTGAGGCGTATAGAGAAGGTATCGGGGTTTAGGTTTTTTTCACATGTCAAGAGGCTTATGCCTCAAAAGTTGAGGCGTACGCCTTGAGGCATTTTTTGAGGCGTGGGTTACTAAGTTTTTATATTTTTAATAAGCTGTGACTTAAGAAATCCTTGGATTAATTTAAATAGTAATTAATAAAAGGCCCATACATGAAACATGTACCCATGGTCCAAGCAAGTCTTTTTTCATTTAAATTATTCAATAACTGCTAAAATGATTGGATATTTCTTCACACAGAAGTTTTCATACTCCTTCACGAAATAGTAGACAACTCACAAATAGTGCACTCTTCTACTCCTCCTCTTCTTCTACATCTATTCTCTTTCTTCATATCCTCTACTTCTTTTATTATTCTCTTTCTCTCCTCTTTCTTCTTGTACTAAGCTGTTGGTCATCTTTTCCTAAAACTAGTTTTCTGATAATTAAGCACATCCAGTCACTCTAGCCAGCAGTACATAAATTTCGGTAGATTCAATGTAATCAGTCCACTTCAATGTTACCAAATTGGACCTAAATGTATTTAAAATTAATGTCCTAAAATGTATCTTCAAATTAGAGTCATATTATACTGAAATTTTCAATCAAGGACTTAATGTTTTTTTTTGGTTGAAATAAAATTTTTATTCAAGAAGAAGAAAAGAAAATTACATGGAATGAAAGTCAAAAGAAAAGAACACAACAGGAGAAAAAGGCAGAAAAAAGCCCCAACCCGAGGTACATAAAAAAGCCCAACCCAAGAATACCCTAAGACTTAGATGCAAGGTTAGTATTCCATCCAAGTTTGTGATCTGGTTCTCATATGATGAGACCGTTGATACTTTTTCCTATACATCTTAATTTGAGTGTTCAGATTCTCTGTGGGTAGACAATTTTCTATTGTGACCAACTGAGCTTTGTTGCAAATATCATCATTTGTATCGGAGTCCCAAAGGTTGTCAATCGATGAAATAGGAGCTCTCTTCTCGCTCTCTGATGCATGGCCTAAAAAATCATCCCCGAGTGTGTATAGAACTGTTCGTTAAAGACCCCTTCACTCACAAAATCTGCAGATAAATGGATACATGTGAAAACATCTCTTGAAGCGTTGGCATCTGGATTTGCACATATAGTAGTATTCCCTTCTTCACAAACCTTTTTCTGATTTTCTAAAGAGTCAGTAAGGATTTTTTTTGAATTATTTGAGTAGAAAGTGTGACAAAGAATCCACCCCGTTAGTCATAGCAGTCTGAAAAAAATTATTAATAATTTCTAATGAAGGGTCTAGCTCAGAAATGAGCTCAGATTTACTAGCGTCCTCAATAGAAATGAACTCCAAAGAGTTAAATGAAGTTGAAAGAATATCAACTTGTAGTCAAGCTTCCGAAATCGAAGAATCAATCTTACAATGATGTATATCCCTATCCAGTCGTTGCAAAAGGGGATCCTCACACAAGTTGCCTGACAAACTCTCACATGTAACTTGTGTCATTGTTACCATTGGCTCTTGAGGTGCGATGGATTTCATCAAAGTAATTGCCTTTGAAATCCCTGACAAGAAAAGATTTATTCCCAATTCATTTCGCCCTTCAGGAAGAATATAGAGAGTTTCTTCCATTTTCAATTATTCGGAGAAAACCTCCAAATATATTTGCATCAGGGAGTTAATGTATCAATGATATTAATCGTCTAACTGTACTAAGGATGTTTGTACTTGAACTGTAATTTGCTGGATTGGTCTGGTCTAATCTATTCTGGTCTGGAACAAATAATAGTCTAAGTAAAAACATCCTAAGCGTGTTTTTTAAAATAAAATACTAAGGAGGTGTTTACTTCGCTGCTAAAGTCACAGTTAGGTTAGTAAGACAGGTGAAGTAAACACGCACACTGCTTAAAAAGCCGCTTACTAACTGAAAGAGGTGCTTAAAGTGTCGCTTACTAAGCATACCAACCCCCATGTATTAATTAAGCGGCATTTTAAGCTTTTTCAGTTTCCGAAATTACCCATTGCCCTTACCCTATTGTTACCCCTCTACCCGCTACCCCACCCCGCCCAAACTACTACCCCACCCCTACCCACTACCTCCATCCTCATACTTTACCCCTTACTCCCTACCTTACCCCTTACCTCGGCCCCACCCTATTGCCATCTACCCCTACCCTACCTTACCTGACCCCAACCCCTACCTTACCCCGATCCCAGCCCCATCCCACCCTACCCCGACCCCAGTACCCTCTACCCTACCCCCTACCTCGGCCCCACCCTGATCCCGACGCCACTCTATCGCCATCTACCCCTACCCTACCTTACCCCTACCTCACCGACCCATCCCCTACCTCGGCCCCACCCTGATCTCGTCCATCTACCCCTCTACCTTACACTACTTTACCACGAACCCACCGTACCCACTCCTCCCTACCCCCTACCACATGCTCCTACCTCGGCCCCACCCCGATCCCGACCCCACCCTACCGCCATCACATACCCCGACCCCACCCTACCCAGCCTTACCCCTAACCACGACCCTACCCCACTCCCTACTTGCCCCTACCTTGGCCCCACCCCGATTCCCCACCAACGCCCACCCCTAGCCCTTACCACCCTACCCCCCACCCCCTACCAAATACCCCCCCCCCCCCCCACCACATGCCCCTCACCCCAATCCCGACCCCACCCTACCGCCATCCTACCCCCACCACCCCCTATCGTGGTAAGGGTAGGGTAGGGGTCAAGGGTGTGGAATTGGGCAAAGGGTGTAGGGAAGGGGTGGGGGTACGTGGGGGTATAAGGCGGGGTAAGGGGTATGGGTACACGTACGAGGTGACCCCACATATTATGTTATGGAGTATATACTTGTGTTCATAAATGTTTGTGCTTCTATATATGTATAGGGTTATTTTGGACATTTAAATGTTAAACGGTGTTTTAAATCCTTTGAAGTAAACGCGATCTTACAACATTGCTGATTTTATACGCCGCTTATTAACGTGGGTCTTAATAAGTGTATTATTTGTACACCGTGTATATATCCTTAATACAAAAAAAGTGTATATATCCAAATAAGAGTTCTATTTGTACGTGTCTCTAGAATCAAGGATAAGATCCGAAGCCGATTTAAAAGCCTATTTTTTATTTTTGCACAAGAAAGCTTTATTGATAAAAGAAGCAAAGTACAAGCGCTAATGAAGGGAGAAAGTAAATGGAAAAAAGCGAATGAGGAAAACAGGAATGAAAATGATTAGTAAGGTGTATTGGAGTAGTTGAGCCGGCTACGCTGTTGGTATGTTGTCTGGTGTTAAAAGCCTAAATATTTTTTAATACTCCTTCCGTCCCCCTTATATTGTCCTATTTTACATTTTTGGGAAATCCCACTAATATTGTCTCATATCATATTTGGTAAAGTTTGTGTGGCTCTAAATCATTCTTACTTTATTCTTACTTTATCAATTAATATAAACAACACAAACCCACTTTTTTTTAATAATTGTGACACCTTCTTCCATCCCATATAGAAGGGACCGAGGTAGTATAAGTTAATTAAATGTTTTTCACATAGTAATAATAGATACTTTTTGTTAACCGATAATAGAGTGACACAACTTTTCTTAACTTTGTTTTACGTAGATCACAATTATAAGTACTGTATTATACTGCGTATTTTGTATTTCATATGCGAAGTAGGGAGTATATTTTTTGTATTTCATATACGAAGTATATCTCATTTTCTAAACTGTATGAGATTTAACAAACTTATAGAGATGTATCATAGATTTAATTTTTAACAAATATATTTAGGCCTTTTTATTCAAATATTACTATTAATTAAGAGATTTCTAATAAAGTGAGTTAAGATTCAAAAGTCTAAAAATATGACTACCATCTCTTGTTAAACACCAATCCGTTGCACACTAATCTATTGCACACCAATTCGTTTAACACTAGGTACAACTAAAAAGGCCATTAATGAACTTTAATACTAAACAATAGGAAAGAGTTTCTCTTGCCATCCACAACAACCGCCACTATTATCACTGGCGCTGCCGGCAGTCTTGCCGCACCGCCACCCAGTAACTTGCTCCGGCCATAGTGACTGCCGCCACAGTGACCGCTGTCATAGTGACTTACTGCCACAGTGACTCCGTCGCCACAGTGACTCCGTCGCCACAGTGACTCCGTCGCCACAGTGACTACTCGTCGACCGGCCATAGTGAGTGAGTACCCGTCCATCGGCCATAGTGACTCCGATCAGTGACTCCGGGCACAATTACTCTGGGCATATTGACAACGTTACTGGGGATGCCGCCTAAGTGACATGCGAATCAGATCATCTCCTTGCTGACACCGCAATCACAGTGACGCCGCACCACCCCTAGTGCTGCTGCCGACCCCGCTCCACCCCTAACGACCTCCCTACTGGTCAAAGTGATTGCCTGTCCACCGGTCACAATGACCCCGCTAAAGTGGCCCAACTCCGTCCACATTCCGGCAACCGTCATCTGACCCACTACTGTCACTAACCCCCTCCATAGCCCTTAGCACCCTGTAGCCCGTCCCCTGACCTCCCCCCCAACCGCCATCTACGATGACCAGCAGCCCTCCACCGCCGACGTTGACCAAAGACCTCTGGCCACTACTGGACCACCGTCCCAGCTCCCAGGTCCCTGCCACCTCCCCACCAGGCCACAGCAACCCAACGCACACCACCCCAGTCATTAGCCCCGGCAGAACCACTCCCCCCTGCCCGAGTTCCATGTCAAAACCCACCCCCTGCCCTAGACCTTGCCGGAACCCTTCCCCCTAATCTCAAGGCCGTCCACCGCCGCCGCCACTCCTTACCTGTCTGTTACAGCCACTCAAAACATAGCCGACGGAAATAGACCGCTATATAAATGCCAAACTAGGAAAATTCCAGATCTGCTCAGAAGCGACCAGATCTATTGGAGCCACCAAAGTAGCCATTGGCTCCCAAATCCGACGAAGAACGTCGCTGGCCGTATCTGTTCGCCGGCCTCATTGAAGCCATAACCGCGCGCCGTGATTTGCACAAATGCTTCTTAATTTGTTGCCATCGATGTTGCTTCCCAATCTATTGAGATCTACGGCCGCTGGTGAGGCAGAAAAGAGAAGAAAAGGGAAAGCAGTGCGGGATGTCAAGGCGGCGGCGGCGTAGATACCGCGGTGGCGCGCGGCTTAGGTTGAGCTGCCATTATCTGCGACACAAGGGAGATGGATGGTTCGTTGCGGCTGGGAGATCGATGGAAGATTCCGCCTAGGACTAGGAGATGGATGGTTGCCGCTGGGAGATAAAATTTGTGGAGAGAAAGGGCCTGGACTCAATTTTAAATTAGTCATTTTTTAGAAAAGCTAAAACTTGTCATATCTTTGGAAATGAAAACTCTATTAGTAATATCTAGGCAATTATTTCATATATTTATACATGCAACAAGTTATTATTTATTTAATTTAAAAACATTATTATTAGGCATCCGAATTACTTTTTCAAGAAAGAATTTTATAACCACAACTTCTTTAATTTTAACAATTTCAGTTTCAGTCCAGCCCATTTGATTTCGATCCGGACATGCTCAGGGTCTACACTTCAAAATTTTAATGAAACTCAGCATCCCCTCCACTTCAAATCATCGAGAAAACTTTAACCCGCGATCAATCGAAGTGGAGACACGCTGCTTCAGTCGATCTATGCACTGCAAGCTGATCAACCGAATAGGTATAAAACTTCACTCCACCATTTGGTATTATATCTCCCTTTTCAAGTATTTATTTTTCCCCTTTCAAGCGCTCCTACCAATAGGAGTGATTAAGATGTTCTTGTGCACGGGTAAAATTGTATACATTTATACGTTGTGCTTCCTTCCTTCTGCTTTCACCAATACTCTTTGGTAATTCATTGATCTCCTTATGTTATGTTTGAGCATCATCTCATTCATTATGTAGTTCATCTATCATTCCTTTACTAATTGATTTCATCTATTTCTCTTAGTAAGGAGCTCCATTGAAGCATTCTCAACTCATATAATCCGGTTGGAACTAACACTGATAGCTTTCTACTCTCTTACATATAAAAAAGTTCTCTTTATAAATTTCTTGTGAAGTTCTTTTTTGTAATTTTCAGCTTGCACTTTCATACCTAAGGATTCTGAGCGGGAACACTATTCCTAACACATTTTGCTTTTATATAATGATGATGATAGACTTGGTGCGGTTTAGCCAGAAAGAGTCGGTAGATCAGAGAGAGAAAGAGAATGGGGGTGAACCAGCAGAGATGTGGACAGAGGGTGGTGAAGGCGGTGCTTTTGGTTATGGGAGTGTGCTTGGTGGGATATATTCTTGGTCCGCCATTGTATTGGCACCTCAAGGAAGGCTTAGCAGCAGTCAGCCGTTCTTCTTCTTCCTACTACTCGTGTCCTCCTTGTACATGTGACTGCAATTCTTTACCCCTTCTCTCCATCCCTCAAGGTAAATCCCCTTCTTTTGGATGGATCTGCTTAGATCCTTCTATTTCATCTGTCTTAAGCTATCTGGGTATGAATGCTTTTGTGTATACAGTACAAATCTTTCATTATCTGATAAATTTTAGTTCATCTGTTGAGTAAAAGAGCAATCTTTCTCCTTTTTCACGAATTTTTCCAGCCGACCCTTTTAGTAATTTTTCGCCCCCCATACGAAATCACTAGTGGGTTTTCGGGTCACTTTTCCTTTAATGCTGAAGTATTGAATAGATAGTGTTTAAACGGTTGTTAATTGAGCTCATAGAACTGTAGAAGTTCAAATTAATGTCGTAAGCACTTTGCTTAGCGAGATGACACATACACTCTTTTAAGTTTTAACAGCTCCTAAAAGTTTGGGTTTTGCATATATTACCATTCAGATGCCATAATGCCAGGTACAGTGATTGTGAGTTTCTATTATAATAGTACTACATAATAATTAATATAATAATAATACACAGCCTTGCCCTTATTTGAGAAGATAATCTTTGAAACTACCAAAAGGGAAATTTCAAGGTTGTAGTTATCTACTGTCAAGTAAAAATATATAATAGATACTTAGACAATAGTTGAGATAAAATAGATGCTTACCCAAAATTGGAAGTGTAAGAACTTCCTTTTCAAACTAATAAATCACACAGTGTCATTCTTTTGTTAACTTCCTTTCTTATTATAATGGTTGTTTCCTTAGAAAAGAGTCTCAATTGTCTTTTCACTTTAAAAGAGTGTCATGTTACGAGCATGACTGGGAAGTGAAATGAAAAAGAACTTAAATCAGTAAAGGTCTTCGTGCAACTACATATAGTACTGCTGTTAGAAATACCAACTCAAACAAAATACCTATACTAATATAAATGTACTACTACTACCAATAATAAATTCATAATCGTAAACTAATACTAATAATGGGTATTAATAATAATAATAATAGGAAGCCTTTTTTTGCTATACTTCTCCAAAATCTTTTCGGGTGGCTCTATGAGATTTGCCTTTACATTTAGTGAACCACATGCAGGCCTTATGCTGGAAATGGATTTTGCCCTCTGGGTAATCTTTGAATCTATACTAGGTTGTAAGGAGCTTGTTTGGTTAAAACATTTCAGAGTGGGTAATAATTTGTATTCTATTAATATATCTGTATTTATTAGTTTTAGACTAAAAGTAATGTATTTCGATATAGTTTATTGTCTTCATCTTATTTATCGATCGTCTTAATTTAGAAAGATTTTAAAAGTTAATTTCAATCCTCAAACTTTGGCGCGTGTAACTTCAAATGTACCCCTTCCCTTGTTTTTGGTTTAACTCAATACCATTAGCTTGAAATGATGTGTGACTATACCTAACATGTCCTCATCAGTCATCACTCCCCCACCAGTTAAGAATAAAATAAAGAATTTAACAAAGAAAAAAACCAAAGATATCATGAACCATCGAGTTTGGGCTGATTGCCAATTGTCTACTTGTGCATAAGCTATATGTGATCAGGTTCAAAGCCTGGATGCATTTCTTTTTGTGGTAGATGCCAAGAGGCTCATCATCATCATCATCATCATCATTATCCGTATCTTAGTCCCAACCAGTGGGGACGGTGAACTTGAATTTATAATGCTAATTCGTCGTATGATGTTCATATTCCTCAACACTATATTCTTGAAAAAAAGAAGGAAAATGAAACTTAATCCCAATGCTTTGCACCAGATTCCCTTCCTGTCGCAGGCTTCTTAAGAAGGAATAATGATATCAAACTCTAAAACGTTCACTGTTATAGATTATTTCATATGCATGAAAGTATTATTAGACTGTGATGACATCAGATTTGCTATTGACATCAGATTTATGTGACTGGTATTGCAAAACCAACATGAAAACCATAGAACATTGGTCGTTGAACCTCTTATTGATGTCATTTTATTTTTTAATTTTAAATGTTTTCGCCTTTAAGCTAAAAAACCTGACGTTAAGTTTGTTCTCTTTATTGCAGGATTAAGTAATGCTTCCTTTTCAGGTTAGTAACACAAACACAATATTTCCTCATTATTTTACTTGAGTCAGAAGAACTGTGCTGGTGTTTGTGTTAAGCGTCTTATGTGAAACCTGAAAATTTTATGTTATTTCAACAATCGGTTTAATATAATCGATCATGATCATATTCAACTATGATCACTATATTCAATTGGTTATACTCCGTATAACTTATATCAGCTTTTGTTTAGGTAATATTTTCTAAAAAGTGGTTTTAAATTAAATAAATGGGGCAATTTGACTTTGCACCCCACTTTTTGGGAGATATTGGACTTTGCACCCCATTTTGAAAAAACTTTGATTTTGCACCCCATAACTTAACATTTTGTAAAGGAAAATTTGTGAATGAGTGCAAAGCCAAAGGATTTTAAAGTAGAATGGGGTGCAAAGTAAAAGTTTTTTAAAAATGGATTGCAAAGCCAAATATCACTCAAAAAGTGGGGTGCAAAGTCAAATTCCCCCTAAATAAATTCGTATTAGTGCAACAAAACATTATGTGTTACTATAGGTAAAATAGGTGTGAATACAAACAGCTGAATGAAAATTTAAATCATAATAAACTACGAACTCCCAACGTAAATGAACAGCTTATAATATAAAAAGGCCTCTTATTAATTTAAGATTATAAGTGTCACAAACATGCTCTAAACTGTCAATTGCATTTGAATTTAGTTCTTTCAGTGCTTCTGATGATGCAGTTCCATCTCATAGAACAGTAAGCTGGTTATGAGCATTGTTCAACACCTCCTTGGGATTGAAATTTGGAAGTATTGCTCACTGATTATGTCTATGAGCTTGTCATTTTAGAAAATCATAGCCATGAGGACGTATATAGTTGAATTTTTTATTTTATATTAATAAGATTTTCATGTGTTAAAGCCGAAAAACAAAGTGATGGGTGACATTTGATACAATTCCCCTCCATTTTTCCATTTTCCCACATTTCGCAGATTGTGGAAACCATGATCCCGAGGTGGGTGAAGACACAGAGAAGAACTTCGCAGAGCTCTTGTCTGAGGAATTAAAGTTGCGAGAAGTTGAAGCTTCTGAAAACCAGCACAAAGCCGACATTGCACTGTTAGAGGCAAAGAGGATGACATCTCAGTACATGAAAGAAGCAGACAAGTGCAATTCTGGGATGGAGACTTGCGAGGAGGCCAGAGAAAAGGCCGATGCGACCCTACTGTCCCAGAAGAAGGTGACTGCAATGTGGGAGTCGAGGGCACGCCAGATGGGGTGGAAGGACAAGACTGCCAAGTCTCAATGAAGCCCATCATGTACATCTGATTCAAAATGTTTCCCCTACGAGACTCGGCCTCAAGGCTCTCTCATTTCTGAAAGATCATGAAAATTTCTCATAACCCAAAATTTATTGGAAAAATTGATAGTAATAATCCCAACTATTGGCGGTCCGCTCATAATAATCCCAACTATTGATTATTACAGAATAATCCCAACTTTAGGGACCTTCCGCCAATAATGGTCCCTATGAATAAATTCTTGTACTTTCTAAAGTGGATGAGATGAGATATAAGAAGTAATCCCTATAAATAATCTCAACTTTTAATTTTTACATTTAATTTCTATTTAAAATTCACTTTTTATAGAGGTAATATATGGTCATGGACCATTATTGGCGTATAGTCGATATAGTTGGGATTATACAAAAATAATCAATAGTTGGGATTATTTTCAGCGGACCGACAATAGTTGGGATTATTATTTTCAATTTTTCCTTTAAATTTATTTCTTGTTTTGTAATATGATATAGCCATATAGGTAAATAGGAGTATAATATCATTTGCCTGGTGCGTCTACCAAATAGTACTATAGTAGTATAGAAGTTGTTTACTCACTTTTTGCTGAAAAATGTGTCAAAAAATGTTCGGTCTTTTAAATAGCATGAATATTTCTTGAGATATTACCCGAAATAGGACTAAAAAAATTTGAAAATTCCAAAATAGGACTTCCATGTTTTTATTTCCAAAATAGGACTAATTACTGTTATGTTTTGGCAGTACCAGACTTCAAACATGGCAGTATTTTTCAAACTTGGTAGTAATTAGTTCTATTTTGGGAATAAAAACATGACAGTCCTATTTTGGAATTTTCAAACTTTTTTAGTCCTATTTCGGGAACTTTCCCATATTTCTTTTAAAATGTTTTCGAAAAATAATACGTAGTCCATACTATGGAATGAGAGATTCTGTTTGGGTCCTTCATAGGTAAGGGTGGACCGGTTACGGGCAAATCGCGCCTGGACCGGTACTGTTTGTACTCGGCCCGAGAAACCGGTTCCGGGCCTAGTCCTGGCCCTAGGGATGGCCCCGGGCCGGTTCGGGCCTAGGCCCGGCCGGGCCTCGGGTCTGTTATGTTGGGCCCGAGCCCGAACCGGTGGCCACCGGTTCCGGGTCCGGTTCCGGGCCGGACCGGGTTGGGCCGGGCCACCCGGTTAGTTTTTTTTTTTCCTGTTCTCCCCCCCCCCCTCACCCCCACCCCCCAAACCGGTCCTAAACATCAAGCCCAACTCAATAAAGCCCAAAAAAATGAAAAAAAAAAACAGTTTTTGGCCCGGGCCCGACCCGGCCGGGCCGGTTCGCCAAATACAAGGCCCGAGCCCGGACCCGCCCCCCCACCGGGCCTAGGCCCGACCCGGACCCAGATCCGAGAACCGGGCCGGGCGGCCCGAACTGGGTCCATGACTGCCTGGCCCGAGGGGGTAACCGGTTCCGGGTCCTGAAAAAGGCGAACAGGCCGGGCTGGTCTGTTTTTTTTTTTTTTTGGTTATTTTGGGGTTTGGGTTAGGTTTAGGTGGGCTGGGAGGGGTGTTTCCGAGGGGTTGGGGGGGGGTTGAAATAAATAACAAAACAAACAAAAAAAAATTGAACTGGGACCGGCCCGCCCGGAACCAGTAGACTCACGGGCTGGTTCCGGGCCTTACCCAAAACAATCCAGGCCCGGCCGACCCTAGGCCCGAATCGCACCGGGCCCGGTCCACCCCTATTCATAGGAAAACATGTGTGCATATTCTGTTTACGAGATTATCTGAAGTGTAACTAATGTCACCGCCTAAAATACGAAATATAAAACATTTGAAACAGAAATAATAATCTAAATAGAATCTACTCCAAATAGGACTAAAATTATGGCAAAAATTCAAAATAGGACTTCCTATATTTTTAATTCTAAAATAGGACCATATTACACCTATTGGAAACATACCTATTTTTTCATTCCATTCTTACCTCTCCTTTAAATATGAGTAAAAGATAGTCAAAAGTCATAACTAAGTGTTTAATTCATAATAAATTTGAAAAAAAATTAAAAAATTGTACAAAAATAATAAAAAATTAATAAAATAGTTATAAAAAAATAATTAAAAATTAATAAAAAATAGTAAAACTTCATAAAAAATTAAAAACAAATATGAATGCCTTTCCCATCACTTGTACTGCTTTCCCTGCATCACCACCTCCAGCCAGTGTAAAAAAATGCATTTTTTCTTCTAAAAACTGACATTTTTCTGAAAATGCCAAAGAATGACATATTACTCTTTAAGAATGACAGCATTTTCATTGTTTCTGTCATAAATATGGCATTCATAATGCAAGTGGCATCCCCCCGGTGGCCAGAGGTGGTGGTACTGTCTCCTTGCACCACCACCTCCGACAGGTGTAAAAAATGTCATTTTTTTTTTCTAAAAACTGTAACTTTTTTCTTCTGAAAATGTCAATAAAAAATGGCATGTTACTCTTTGAGAATGCCAACATTTTCATTGTTTCTGCCATAAATATGTCATTCGTAATGAATGTGGCATTTTTTCCCTGGTGATTGGAGGTGGTGGTGTTGAGGCGGCAGTCATTTTTTTTACGTTTCTTTTTAATGTTTTCTTACTTTTTTAAAAAAAAAATAAATTATTATTATTTAAATATTTTTATTATTATTTCAGTATGTTTTACGAATTATTATTATTTTTTATTATTTTATAATAAATTAAAACATTTCAACAGCTACAAGGATATATTTGTCCAAGACACACATAATTAATCCTATGAAAACATAGTTTATTTTTTGGTCTTATTTATGCAAAGTGGTATTTTGATAATTAATCCAAAACTGAAAAACTGGAAAACCAAAAAGTAGAGAAGATAAGTAAACAAACTTTTTTCTTACTTTCCGACCACAGAGTCTGCATAACTGGTACAAGTAAGAAAGTACTATGTACTCCGTATAACTTACTACAAGAAAGAGTTATAAGTTATAATAAAATAAGGAAAAAGAACATTGTAAATTCAGGTGAAACTGAAGACACTTTTAATTCATTTTTACTCAAATGTTTAATACTTGCTTCCTATTTAAAAGATCACTACACTAGGTTTTGGCATAATATTTAAAAGGGGAATATTAGAGGTAATGAATAGTGTAGGAGAAAAGGTGAAAAAGTAGAAAAGAGAAAATAAAAAGTTGAAAAAGTAAAGATAGTTGGATATTTTTAAATAAAAAAACTTACCCAAAATAGAAAATGTAATAAACTTTACAATACATCCCAAATAGGATTGTGTTGCAAAATTTTAAATGCAACATATCTCCCAAATAGGGAGTATGAAATTTAAAAACAACATATCTCCTTATGTAAATTTTAAAAATGATATGAAACAACCAAATACATTGTGATCTAATGGCATCACTGTTGATCTCCCAAAGAGGAGTCGCATGTTGAGTCACATCCCAATCAAAGACGTTGATATTAACAAGAGTAGATACTATAATATGTGTAGAAGAATGTTCCAAAAATAAAAGATATGAAACAAAAAACTATCTTGAAAACATTTATGTAGAGAAAAAGGCGATAATATAAAGAAAACTACCCAAAATAAAATTTCAATCATACTTCCTACTCAAAAAATAACTAGAACATGTCATTTTAAACCATGAGTCAACTAAATAATAGAATTACCACAACCAACATCTATGCAATTAGACAGCAACTGTATTCGAACAAGTAATGTGAAATGTATGTAGTACGAGTATTGTATTAGTTTTGGTTCATTGCAAATTATATTCAATTTTAAAGAAAAATGATTTAACAATTGAATCATTAAAGCATAACGAGAATTTGATGGCCTGATGCGTTAGACTGCTAGTATATTACTCCGTATTAAATAACAAATTGTCAAAATCTAAAGACATTTGACATCCAATTGTGAATAAAAACTCACATGACCTGTTCTATCTTATTTACCAAAATTGAAGTGAGAAGAAGAAAACTGTAAAGTTACAATGTACATGTAACACTCTTGACCCCTATAAAGTCCAATGGGGAGGGTAGTCAGGCAATTTGCTTCACACACTGCAAATTATTTTGGCCCACTGACCCAAATAGTAGAAGTAAATTCATAATTTGGTTCATGTCCGGAGCGTGTATACATCCAACCATCACAAGTAAATAGTGTTCTGAAACAAAAGTATTGTCCACTCCCATTGCAATGCCTAGCACCATGAATCTTGATAGTTTACTCTGAGAATCCAAGGAAGATGAAATTAGTTATAAAAACTGTAAAATACACACATACATTGTTTCCAAAGAAAAAAATTGGGCACCAACAAAATTTTCCATTTCCATTTTAAGGAAAGAATTGTGGTGAATATAAAACCTTTTATTTATAAACAAATCTCAACCATGCAACTTAATTTGCCTAAACAGATAGCATAACAACAAATGTGACAAACAAATATGAATGGAGAATAATACTACGTATCTATTTAATTATATATTTATTGGCCACACGAGAATTGGCAAACTCCACAATGAGTTACATATGAAAAGCCACCCCACCAGATTGCATATTGATTTGTTAGAGTTTTGGTTCACTTTCAATTAGAATTAAAGATTCAGTTACATTTAGTCTTAGCTTGCTGCTATTTCTAATTAGCTTAGGGACACAAAATAACCTCACCTTACAAAAGCCAAGTCATATATCCATGCTGTATAGCTTTGTGGGTGAAATTTGAGTTGCTTGAGACATATATCCTGTTACAAAACCGCCCAAAAAAAACTGTGACATTGTAAAGCTAATGGAAAATTGAGAGTATATTTAGCCACGTTGAAAGTAACAGTATATACTTCAAAGTCAAAGAAAAATGGGTTTTGACAAAATTTTCTATTGAAAAATTATGCTCTTGTTTGGTGTGACAAAGGGGAGGGGAGGGGGGGCGTGGGGATGTGACTATAATAATTAAGCACACATAGATCGTTTCCGGAAGACCCATGATATTTTATTATTTTAGAATAATATGTGATGAAAATTATTTAATTCGTAGTACGTAGTATTCCCTCCTTCCCATTTTATATGTCTTACTTTCCTTTATGTGATAAAAATTATTTGATCCAAGTGTCACCTTTCCTTTTTGGAAAGAAATATGTGGTCCACACCATTTCACTTTATTATACTCAAATCTCAACCACAACTTTTAATTTTTCCACCATTTTATTGATAATTGTGTCAAGTCAAAGTATAACACATAAAATGGGACGGAGGTAGTATTATTTTTTTTAGGATTTAAAATATGACTAACACTTTTACAATAATCATGTAGAACAATGTAAGGAAACAAAAAAAGATTTAGAAAAAACTCCTCAAAATGAGGGAGTGGGATATGAGAAGTTTGGAGTCGGGGGCTTTCCGACTCCAACACTACTCAACTTTCCACCACTCTTCTAAATTCCATAAATATTGTATAAGTAGTATTTCTGAGAATTATAAACAAGAAATTATTGAAGGGTGTCACCCGAAGCAACCAGAAGGGAAATGAAAATCTAAAATACCTGAGATTATTATGCAGTATTCACCTTATTTGCAAATTACTGAGGAAATCCGAGAGTCTGAATGTAACACGAAGTGCAACATCAAAT